TCGCGATCGAAGTGTATCCGTCACGTTATTGTTTAGTTGGGGTGTTCGTTGTTTGATGAAAATGTTTGTTCTCCATCCTCTTGAAAACCATAAATATCTCCTTTTAATATTGTCGTGGTTCTGTTGTCTCGACTTCGTTTTCTCCACTCTTCTTTATAATGATAGGTATCAGTCTTGGAGGCAACAGTCTGCTCGCTCTGACATGGTACAATTTAGTGGTAATCATCGTTGGAGAATATATCATAAAAGGGTAAAGGTATTCCAAAATCTTATGAGATTTCACCTTGGGATTGAGTTGAGTCATAACTCACTCCACTTTTAACTAATGCCGGTGCATTGGTCGTGTTGGCGCGTTTCACAGGTCATGAGGTTTTAAATGCCTCTAGAAGGACAATCAAAAGAAAATTTGGTATTTATATAGCACAGCATTAATATAGGATAAGCAGGATGGGTTAGAATTCCAGATGGAAATCGATAAAATGATTAAAAATGGGTTTTACCAAAAATAGATATAAACAGGCGGAGAGCCCGGAAAATCGTAAGTAGAGGAATTAAAATCGTAAAACCTTTGCTAAAGGTTCTTCTTTTGCCGTAGTATCAACTTTTGACTGGATGGAATCGTTACAGGGGTTGCGACCAAACTACGATACATGGGTAGGTACTTCACCTTTTTGTTTTAGACCAATTATTCCTTTCTGTCCGATCCCATCGTTCAGAATTCAAAAATAGGCAACAGGGTGACTTCTCGGTAAAAGGCATTTTTATAAGTACTTATTTATTTAGGCATATGCACTCTGTGGTACAACAGGTATTATAAAAATATACTCCTATTATATTCTATAGGTACTAAACTGGTAACACGACGTAGGTGGTCTAGACCGGACACAAACATTTGGCAATCACTAAAGTTAGGTACAAGTGTCCAAAAGTTCACCAATTTTTTTTTTTTTTGGTAACTTCCGTTACGTGTTAGTATTATTAGATACATGTCTTTGGTATTCGTTCGGTAAGATGGTGTTTCGATCGGTAACAACAGGCATAAATAATATCGTTCCGATAAAAGGTTTACATGGGTTTGCAATAAAACTAAAAGCGGTGTGTAGGAAGTAATGTGCGCTAATAATCCAGTTGGCGGTAGCAGCCTTCATTTGTTACTACATTACGCTAACGCTGTCTGCGCCTGTTACCATGAACCCCAGTGCCGTCCTAATCTTTGGCTTGGATGGTCGTTGTAGAAGAACCCCTCTTCAGAAGTCAACCACCTTTGCTTCACCATGTCACTTCCTTTTTCTCCTATCATCATGGCAGGCGCGTGGGTATTCCCAGATGTTAGGACGGGCATGATGCTCGTGTCTATCACCCTCAGCCGATCTATACCATGGACCTGAGGAAACGCGTATCAATTATTATTGTTTGTTGGTTCATGAGGAGGCGCGGCGGAAAAGAAAAAGGTTAGAATGGATAGAGAAGGTTAGAAATGAAGAGATATTATAAAGAATAGGAGAACAGTGGACTCTATGGAAGTCAATGAGAAATAGGACACCTTCTTAGGCTTGAAGGTCTAGTCCGAGACATATTAGAGGCAGAAACGGGAGTTAGGAGGGGTAGAGGTAGACCTAGGTTAGATTACTGTTTCGCAAATAGTTAAGGATGTGGGTTGTACCAGTTTTAGGGAAATGCGAAGATTAGCTCAGAATAGGAAGGAATGGATGTGCGTGTCCAACCAGTCTTAGGACTGACGAAGTTATGATGATGGTTCATTAGACTGCTTAGTTCATCAACAACGTTGTCAGTCCTTAAACTGGTTGGACACTTCGTCTCTTTCCTATCCTGAGTTAATCTTCGTATTTGCCTAAATGTATTAGAACATCCCACATCTCTATTCCTCTTAACCCCTGTTTCTGCTTCCTATATATCTCAAACTAGTCCTTCATGTCTGAGAAGGTGTTCTACGAACCTATCTGACCTATTTCTTGTTGACTTCCTCTGTTCTCCTATTCTTTTTAAGACTTCCTCATTTCTAACCTTCTCCATTCACTACATCCTCGTCAGTCTTCCGAAACGCCACATTCTGTAGGTTTCTAACCATTTCTTTTCCACCCCGCCCATCGTCCGCGTTTGACACCCTCACTTCAGATATACACCTTTAACAACAACCCCTTTCGAATTTCTAAATTAATTGACCGTTTGCCAACATAGAAGTGACTTCTTTTTTTACTCAACCCTGACTTGATCTGTCTTCCTAGATACCGAAAATCAGCCACAATTTTTCGTCTTCTGTATTTATATTCGATCCTTTCCTACTTTTTCTTCCCATGTTAAACTGCTTACCTTTAATTCGGTGTCAACGACGGCGTAAGGGTCTGAGGCGATGCCCATTCTACAACTTCCAGCTTGGTGGTTTTCGGGCGCAGTTTGCCTTTTGGCAGCGCATGTCCAGTATTCGTCGGAACCAAAGGGTAAATTCTCGCATCCTTGGACGGGAGTCCTGTCCAATTGAAGCCCGTATCTCTTCATTGCTATCGCAAAAGAAATGAAAGGTTATAGACGGCCAAAAGACTTGTTCCACGGTTGGTACGGTACCTTTTGTGTCCTGAAACTTTAGCGCGATTCTTATTCCATCCAGCAGCACCTTCATGTCGTCGGGCTGCGTGAAGTATCCGGCAAATATCAAGGGATGGTCCAGGGGGTCTGAGGTGTTCAGTTTTATGCATCCTCGACTCTTGGGTCGTAAGACAACTGGGATGATTTGTATTTGCCGGGATCCGTTGTTTATCCTCTCGCCAATTTGTCCCGTTCTCGCACAGTCGGCCAGGAACCCGGCAAAAAATAACTGGATATCGGGATTGTCTTCTTCTGGATCGACGTATCGAGTATTCACGAATCCAGTTACCGCAGAAATACCTGGAAGAAGCAATTTGAATGCCGAAGATTTTTTTTTCTTTAAATCAACATCATTAAAGACAGTACAACTGTAGGGATAGATGTGCAAGGGCAAAAGATTAGTATGCTTACATTTGCAGATGATATAGCAGTATTAGCATCTAGCAAGGAGGACCTAGAGATAGCTTTAAATAAAATGGAAGCGGTACTGACAGATCAGTACTGTATGAAAATAAATAAAAGTAAAACTAAAATACTG